ACTATTTTTCAAGTGAGAAAGCATTTGTTCCAGCAGTAGATTTAACTACCATGCTAGAGAAATCCACGTCCAAAAATTAATAAGAATATATATATACATATATATATATGTATATAATTTATCATTTATATTTCTTCCCAACATATTGTCATAGTCCGCCATAAATTTTGTCGTCGCCATCAGTTCTTCATCTATGCATTGCTTAGTTCATAACAAACAGAAATTTACAATCAAAATATATCAATACTACCCGATTTATGGAAACAATCATTGTTTCATGATTTACCTAGTTAATTGGCCACTCCCATAAAATCATCACTATCGAAAATCTTCAGTAAAAAATCAGGCTCTTTGCATGTAACAAAAAACAGATTAAAACGTCACATTTGGCCGTTGAGTTGTTTCCCTAAAATTTTTTTTTGTCAATCTTCTAAATTTATGAAAATCAAAAGCATAAGATTGAATGCTACAAATTTTACCTCGTGTGTTATGCGTTTTCGTCATGATGGACAATGAAGTTGTAAGCATGGCCTCCTGTTAACAAACATTGCAAGAAAAAGTGGTTAACAAATGCATAAATTTGAAAAAGTGTAAGAAATCTGACAACAGTAATGCATGAATAAGCTTTTCTTATGGCCACTTCAAATACATATATACTCCTTTCGACATGCAGTTTTCTAGGGATTAATGTGATAAAATTTTGAAAAAAGATAAATTCATTAAAAATTTTCATATCAAAATTTTATTCAAAATTCAAACCTATGATATGTTTTTAACACGTAAGAGATCAGATTCCGTGATCATATTCGAAACAATTAATGTTGATTGATTAGTTTTAAATAAATTTATGGATTATGCTCATTATTTTGGATGAGAAATAATTATTTTCGGAAATCGTGGGAAATCATCCAATATTATTTCTTTAAATTTTCTCTCATCCTATTCACGACGTCTCTTACCACTATTTAATGTGGATTGCTGATTGATTGGTTCCAAACAAATCTATGGATTTTTTTCCTTTTTTTGTCGAAAATTGTGGGAAATCATCCCATATTGTTTCTTCAAATTTCCCCTCATTCAATTCACGACATGAATTGCTTATTAATATTGATTGATTGGTTTTAAACAATTTTAACCGTCCATTATTATAAAATTAAGTGTGATAAAATTTATTTCTATAAAATCTCAAGGACTTGTAGTGTAATTATATAATTTTTTTTTTTACCATTTTCTATAAAAAAAAATGCCACGTAGGAGTTTATCCTAGGTGACACATTTAGAAATCTTTTTTGTTTTCTCTCTCTGATTTCTCTCTTAGTATAATACTATAGAATAGAAAACTATAGATGCTTATTATTTACTGATCGAATAAAATTGATATTATTTATTGATCGAATAAAAATTGATATCATTTATTTTTTATTTTTCACAATTGAATCTTTTTAATTTTGGAGTTAATAATGGGATATGATTTTTACCTAATTCCATGCACAATTTTGATTTTTGAATAATTATTGATTTTGTCATTAATGTCGGAACTGTGATTGAGTTTTCCATAATTTTGGGAAGGAAATAATTTCGGTGCATTAATACTCATTATTCCTGTCAATTTAATTTTATTAATTTCCATTTCCCATTTTCAATTAATGTTTTAAATGTAATTTGATAAAACTTTATTAATAGAAAATTTGAAAGACTATTAGTATAATTGTTGTAAATATTTTTTGAGTCAAGCATTAGAAAAATGATATATAGGATTTTATCCTATGTGGCACCCTTAGAAATCTTTTTTTATTTCTCTCTCTGGTTTCTCTCTTAGTATAATACTGTAGATGAGTAAAACCCTTTGTTAAAAACAGGTAAACATTAACGTTAGACACAAAAGGGAATATTAGGGAAAAAATGTCGTTCCTACCTAAAGATTTGCCCTCGTCGTCAATTATACCCAATAGACTTTTGGTTAGCCAACTTTACCCTAATATTTGAAATTTTTGTCAATTTCGTCCAATCGGCCCATTTTTCGTCTAAATTAACAGATCTCCATTAGTTTTTTAATATAATAATAAATTTAATTACAAAAACATCCCAGTAATTTTTAAAAAATTTAAAAATAACCCCTAAAATATATAAAAATAACAAAACAATCCCTTTTCACTTTTTTATTTTATTTTCTCTATCTTGTTCCATTTCTCTTTACTAATTTTAATGATTATAAAAGTCTATTATATGAGTTTTAAAAAAAAATTTATTTATTTTCAAACTCTACTGTAAAAATTAATCTTTGTATAGTTGTAATCAATGATTGTATTTATATAAGTATGTTAATTTTTTTAATAATAAAGTTTAGCAATAAAGACACTATTTTTTTGATTTATTTTATTCTTCCTAACATAAAGATTAAAAACATTTAAATGAAACTAATATTCCACATAAAAATAAAATATTAGTTCAAATAAAAAAATATTAATATATTTTAGTTTATTATAATTTCACTCAAGAGACTATAACTTGCATTAATATAATTCATAAAAAAACAACTAAAATATAAAATAATTAAGACACTATTTTTCTGATTTATTTTATTCTTCCTAACATAAAGATTAAAAACATTTGAATGAAACTAATATTTCACATAAAAATAAAATATTAGCTCAAATAAAAAAATATTAATATATTTTAGTGTATTACAATTTAACTCAAGAGACTATAACTTGCATTAATATAATTCATGAAAAGATAACTAAAATATAAAATAATTAAAACCTTAAAAAAATCCTCCAAACATAAGTTTTCCTTCTTGAATTTAAAACTTATTTTCTATCACAACAACTTATTACTATATTGTTACCTCCATTCATTTATTTTAAACTAAAATCATATAAAATAAGCTAGTAAGACTTTCTCTATAGTAAGATATATTAATATCTCAAATAATTATTACCAAATATTAAATCCTCGCATTGATAAGTATAAACATTGTTTTTTATAAATTATATTATGTCATGTAGTCTCTCTACTTAAATTGTAATACACTAAACTATACTAATATATTATTTTTATATTTGAGCTAATATTTTATTTTTATGCGAAATATTAATTTCATTTAAATGTTTTTAATCTTTATGTTAGGAAGAATAAAATAAATCAGAAAAATAGTATCTTTATTGCTATATTATTAAAAAAGATTAACATATATAAATACATGTTACAACTATACAAAGATTAATTTTTACGGTAGAGTTTGAAAATAAATAAATATTTTTTTAACTCATATAATATACTTTTATGGTCATTCAAAGTAGTTGAGAGAAATGGAACAAAATAGAGAAAAATGAAATAAAAAAACAAAAAGGGACTATTTTGTTATTTTTATATATTTTAAGGATTATTTTAAAAATTTTAAAAACTACTGGGGTGTTTTTGTATTTAAATTTATTATTTTATTAAAAAACTAACTGAGATCCATTAATTTGGACGGAAAATGGGGCGATTGTACGAAATTGGCGAAAATTTCAAACATTAGGGTAAAGTTGGCTAACCGAAAATCTATTGGGTATGATTGACGACAAGGGCAAAACTTTGGGTAGGGACGACATTTTTTCTGAAATATTAGTGTATACATCCCACCTTTATACCCAACTTGCGAAATCATCCCAAATTTTAAAATTGGTTAATTACGTCTCAAGGTTATCAAAATTGAGCAGATCCATCCCATGACCTGCGAACCAATAAAAGTGACCTGATATAACATGTAAAAATTATTTGGATCCAATATTTAAGGTTTTTTACTTCTGTTTTTTTTTTTAAATTTTTTAAATTTGTTTTAGTTTATAAAGACAAACAATATTAATAAATAGAGAAATTAAAAAATTTAATTAATTATTAATGAATCAAATATTTTTCTTAATCTAATTCTACTAATATTTTGATAAAATTTAAGAAACTTCCAAAAAAAATTTATTTTATTTTGAGTGAAACAAATAGAATGATTAGATTTCACATAGATATCTTTGTATTCAAAAATTAATTAATTTTTTTGACCAAAAACAATAATTAATTTTTAGTTTATTCTAAATTGTAAGTTATTCCATTTGTGATAAAGAAATTCTCTTTTATTAGTTAATTAAAATTTTCTGAGTTTTTTTTATCTTGAAATTTTGTTTATTTTTTCTAAGCTAAAAAATGACAAACAAAAAGAGAAAATGAGGAAAAAAAAGAATAAATATGAGACCAAATAGATTTTTACCTGTTATATCATGTCATTTTTTTATGTTTTGCAGGTCATGGATGAATTTGTCCAATTCTGATAACTTTGGGACGTAATTGATCAATTTTAAAACGTCGGGATGAATTAGCAAACTAGTGTAAACGTTGGAATGTATCCACTCATTCACCTGACATAAAATTATCAATTAGAACCAAAAAAATAAATTAATATAAAAATATGAAAAATATTTTTATTTTTTTAAAAAATAGTTAAAATATTTTTATTTAAAAAAATATAATGATGTTTGTTTACCAAAAAAATGTAATTTTAAAATGCTCAATGATTTTTAAACCAAATAATGTTAAATTTATATATATTGTTTTTAATTACGTTATTTTTAGTATATTTTTTAATTTATTATCCAAAAAAATATTTGAAAATACTGAAAAACAAGAAATGAAAAATATCCACCCCATTGTTCACTTGTCCCCACCGTTCAACGCTCCCCCAAATTCGAAATCCCAATCCATAGCGCCAAAAAACACACACACACACACACACACACACTTTAAAACACAACAGACTCTGGTCCTATCTCTCTGTCAGTCCCTCGAGGTGCCTCCTGGACCTTCTCTCACACACAGTCACGCACTAACTCATAAGCAGGTGAAGAAAAAAAATCAAACTTCACTTTTCTCGAACTTCGAATTACACATCTCTTTACCCTTTTCAGTGCATGGATTTGCGTTCCTTTTCAAAGTAATTACTTTCCTTTTGGGTATTTGATTATAATGCTATAATCACGCTCTTCACTTTTACTGTTAATTCTTTTAGTTTTTAATTCTTTTTTTGTTTTTCCGTTTCAATCAGGATTTTGAATTTCGTACCTTTATTTTAAACGGTTTGTGAATTTGTAATGGAGTTTATTGAGCTCGAGGAAAGTTATTGTAGCATTAGATTAGGAGCCATGTGAATGTGATTGTTTCAAAATTCAAACCTGGAAGTCCTTTTTTGCCATGGGGTTTTGAGCTCAATTATGTCGTCTCCAGTTGACTTTTAACTTGTAAGTGAAAGAGGTCGGGTTCTTCATTTAACAGGAGGAATCAATTCTCTTTTGGATTTTTGTTGTTGTTGTTCGGTGTGCGTAGATTTTAATATCTAACTTAATTGTGGCTAGTTTGAGTAATGATATGGATAAGCAACTCGAATTTTTGTTTAATTTCTGTATTTGTGTTCTAAGGTGATCTAATTTGCAATTTTCATCTGTATATGTTATGGTTAGAATTTGCTTCATCTTTGTGATTTCTTCAGTGTTTTTTTGTTTTGTTTGTTTTTGTTGATTTTTCATGCTGTTTGTCGAATTGTGCTTTCATTTTCACACTGTTAGTCGAATTGGGCTTTCATTTTCACTTTACTCCTTCATTGAGCATCAGTTCAAGTTCTATATCAATTTGGCACTTTCTTGGTTTTGACTTCCAGTATCATGAACAATTTTGTGTTCTTGTGCTTTATCAAAATATTGAAAACCTTTGCCTGACCCATTATTTGTTTCTTGAAGGTTAAGCATGGAAAGGTAGTTTCGGGCTTAATTTTCGGGTAAATTGACAGACATGGGTTCTGAGTTTAGAGGTAGAAGGGGTAAAGGAACTGGAAGGGTGAGTGTTCATCAAGTGGCTTTTGAGCTCAAACAGCGTGTCGTTCTGGCCTTGAACAAGATTGCTGATAGAGATACATATCAGATTGGTGTTGAAGAGCTTGAGAAAACGATTGAATGCTTAACTCCAGATGGATTAGCCTCGTTTTTCTCTTGCATACTGGACACCGATTCAGTGCAAAAGAGTGCTGTTCGAAAGGAATGTATCAGATCGATGGGTTCACTGGCGACTTATCACAAAGGTCTTGTGCTACCTTACTTAGGGAAGATGGTTGCTAGCATTGTCAAGCGGCTCAAAGATTCAGATACAGTTGTGAGAGATACCTGTGTAGATACCATGGGTGTTTTGGCTTCCAAGTTGGGTGGCGATGGAGTTGACAATGATGGATTTTTTGTGGCACTAGTAAAGCCACTCTTTGAAGCTTTGGGCGAACAAAATAAGTATGTCCAGTCGGGTTCAGCATTATGTTTGGCACGGGTCATTGACAACATCAATGATCCCCCAGTTTCAATATTGCAAAAGATGTTAGCAAGGACTGTCAAGTTGCTTAAGAATCCACATTTCATGGCAAAACCAGCTGTCATTGAATTAAACAGAAGCATCATTCAGGTCCGTTACTGTTAATGTTTATGTGCAATTAGAATATTGCTCAGGTCTTGATGATTGTTGAGCTATACTTATTTCCTTATTAGGAGAAAATCAGTATGGAGCACTGGACCACATACTGGAAAGGGAAGTTCTTAGTTTAAAATTGCATGAATTAATTTAATAACTGAATGACTAAGACATCCTATCATTATCTGTACAATTTTAAATACTCTCCAAACAGAAAGAAAAATGAAGGAGAAGCAAAATGTCTCTGCAGCTTGATATGGCGACAAATCAATTCTATTCTGTAGATACTTTTTGTTTGTAGGTGCTTGTGGTCTACTTTTTTCCATTGATGCATCCATTCTGTTACTATTCCAGGCTGGTGGTGCTGCCACACGTACTACTTTGTCTGCTGCGATTTGTAGTATCCAAGAAGCCCTCAAGAATAGTGACTGGTTGACACGTAAAGCAGCCTCTGCAGCACTAGGTGAAATCGCTTCGACTGGTGGAACATTATTGAGCACTTTCAGGACCTCTAGCTTGCGATGTCTTGAATCCTGTCGCTTTGACAAGGTAAAGCACCTCGTGTGCTTAAAGCCTTAAACTGTTAAGCACTCACATTTTTTCTGAAGTTTCTATCATGTAAAACCTTATATCTTTACACTGGTTTTCAATGTGATTAAGGTTAAACCTGTTAGGGAGACAGCACTACAGGCATTGCAAATTTGGAGAGATCTTCCCGGTAGTGATACACCAGAACCATCAGAAGCAGGATCTTCTGTTAAAGGTTTAAACTTTATTATCTTTCCATATGGTCACACCAGAGAGTTGTCTGTTCCTATGTGCTTCTCTGTTTCTTGTCAATGCTCTGCCAATGCCTAATCATGTGTTTCCCCTTTAACAAAGAGAGTGTGTAGACTGCACACCAGCATACTTGAAAACTGTTCATTCATGGGTGCAACTTTATCTCCTTTAGGATGGCCATTTCTTGTCATCATTTAAATTGATAGTAAGTAATCCATGTAAGTTTGGAATTGAACAATTATATAGAGCCCTCGAGAGAATCTCTTTATAATTTTAAGATTTTTGGCACTAATAAACACATTATGGTTCATTCTTGTATTGCTATGTTACCAAGTGCCTTATTTGGACCACTTGTTTGTTTTCTATTCATTCTTGAGCAATGCTTCTCTTTAGTATCAGAATATTTACGGAAAGATGATTTATTTTACTTTGAAACTTTGTTTGTTGTATGGTTTTCTAAACCTTTGGTATGCGCATCCCCCCAAGTGTCATTACATACTTTGGTTTTGCGAAGTTTGTTTTTTTAATGTATTTTAGTGCAACTACCTTGGATTGTAACCTAGAAGGTGATGTGCATGTACCAATCAGGTGGTGAGCGGACAAACATATGTAGATTGTTAAAAACTATATAAGATGGTGAGCTAGTATCAACAAATAGTTCCCCTGAGGAACTTAAGCATATATTTGTTGTTATTAGACTACTAGGTAGCTGAACTGTATCAGCAGAAGGGTTGCAATTAAGTAAAAAGAATAAAAATAAAAAATGAGGCAGTGAGAGTATTAATAGAAATGTTCTCTTCAACTAAATGAGAGTACTAATGAAAATTAGAGAATTGCTATATTGGTTTTTACATATTTTGTAATTTAATTTTAAAGGATGATCACCCTAATTCTAGCTATTTCTCAACCCTCTTTCTCTAATATTTAAATTTGATTATGTGAACTGTGCAGAAAATTTCTTTAGAGATGAGTATCATGAAGTAACAAGCGCCTGTGATTCTACCCCGGCTCATGTCTCGACTAAGAAAACTGGGAATACGGTTACTAAAAGGTTTCCTCTCTCAAATAAAAGATCTGGGCAAAGCCCTGTAGGGAAGGCTCATTATTCAAAAGCAGATGATTGGCATGTAGAAATAGCAGTTCCAAAGACTAGTTCTATGCCAGATACTGTTGATGAAGAATCACAGGGTAGCTGCATTACCAAGACATGTGAAAGAACAAGTGTTGATTTGAGAAGCACTCAAGATATCGAATATGAGTATGTGCATGTTGAAGACAAACAGAGATCTTCAGCATCTCTTTTCTCTGAGAATTTTGAGTGTAAAGCATTGATGGTTTGTTCGGATGTTCTCGGCGAAGTCGATCGGGCGAAGAAGCCGGGTTGGGGTGTAACATATCCAGCTGAAGAAATTAGTACAGAAGAAAAAAGATTCACGGCGAAAAACCAAGATCGCTGTAGCCTAGATTCCACTGTTATAGAATCTTGCTCTCCTAAGTTACATTGTTGTTCACAAACAGCAAATGAAATGGCATCAATTCAAAAGCATCTTCTCGACATTGAAAACAAGCAAACAACCCTGATGGATCTGTTCAAGGTAGCTCTTCTATCTCTCTGAATATTATTAAAATTCACTTCATCATCCCTGTGACATTTATAATGCCACCTTGACATTCTCTTTTTTAACATTAACAGTTAAATATATGGTTCATAAGCAGAGCTGTGATGTTGCAATGGTTTTCGAGCAACAAAATTTAATATCCTTGTAAGGTTTGAGCCAACTATGCAAATTTTTTAACATAAGATGAGCTTCTTGAAAAGTTAGGCAAAGCAGAAAGGAATTTAATACATTGAAAACCTGTTTTTTGTTATTGCTACTTCCTACAGAAAACACGGGGTTTTGTTTTGATTCTACTAAAGCTGCATAAAGCAGCCAAACCAAATAGTTTTTATGTTTCTTTCCTCTGGTGTGTTAGGACTTAGAAGGTTACCGGTCTTTTCATATTTCATTGAGAAATTTTACATTCATCTCACATCTGTCACTTATACATTCAGATATTCACTGCAAACATAATAGAGAGCATGTCAATGATACAAAAAAAGGTGTCAAGTCTAGAAGATGTGATTAGTGGTGTGGCACAAGAGCTCGTTAAGGAGGAAAGATATGCTCCGGCCACAGAAGCTAAACTTTTAAAGAGAAATCAAGATTCTTGTTCTCCCAGAATATCTACATGCACGCCGAGGCCACCCGTGGATACACACACTAGGCCGTCAACATTGCCCAAAACTGCAGATGTATGGGAGGAAAATATTAGCAGTAGGAGTTCATCTAGTAGTTTTAGACAAGAAACCGATATATGGTCAAAAACATGTCTAACATTAACTAAAAGCACTTCTGGGAAGGGAAACCGAGAAAATGTAAGGTATGGTACCCTAACTGGTAAGCACAGTAATGTCTTTCCTCCAGTTTCTGGGGTTAGGAACAGACAGAGCAGCTTGGAAAGAAATGATGATATCTGGAGAGAAGTAAGAGGTTATCTATCTCATGGTGATCTAGATTCTGCTTATGCACAAGCTCTATATTACAGCAATGAACTAGTTCTTTTTGAGCTTATGGGTAGCACAGGCCCTGTACTGGAACATTTGTCGGAGAAGACAACTGGCAGTCTTCTGAACACTCTGGCCTCATATTTGTCCAAACAAAAGTTTGCAACTTCCATTTTTCCCTGGTTGCAGCAGGTAAGTCACTCTTCGTTCCTTTTTCTTTGTCTCTTAGCGTTCTCTTCGTATTTCAGGGCAGTCAAGATTTTTTCCCTTTGAACCCCAGGATCTGTTTGTTTCTTTGCAAGAGAGTCACTTCACAAAGTTATAGAATATAAAGTGGTTAAGTTTAAAAAGTAATTACAAATACATTGTTCAATTGCAATTTTAGTTTTTCCAAGCAGTTGCTCTTTACACAAAGTACTGTAAATTCAGGTGATTTCATCTTCAGCTCAAATTTGACCAAGAAACTTTCTTCGTAAATTTGATCTACTTGCTTTTTCTCCCCCTCTGTTTTCTTCATTCTGGGGGAGGGGTAAAAGGATAGGTAGTTAGGAAGTTACTTGTCCGGCCGAAGGCTGGTTGAAGTTCTTATGAATAAGCTTTGTCCAATCATAAATTAAGCTTTTAGAGGTTAATGTCAGGGTAAACATTAAGGCTTGCCCAACACTTATTTTGCATTTTTGTTTCATTTTATCTCTTAAAACACCTCTCAAACCCAAATCCTAATACTATCCAAATAACTTTTTAATTTATCTTTTAAAAAATATTTCAAAAATTATTTTTACTCAATTTTCATCCACCACTACCGGACCATATCCACCACCACCCGCCGCCACCAGACCGCCCACCGCTGCCGCCAGACCACTGCCGGCTGGCGCCGGTGGTGGAGGTGGTCCTGTGGTGGTCTAAAAATATTATTAGTTTATTTAAAATATCACCCAAACAACTTTTTAAATTTTATCTCAAACCATATTTTACATCACATCTCAAACCCAAATAAAAAACCAAAACAAAAACTAGAACAAAATGTTGGCCAAACAAGTTCTTACTTATTTGGATATCTTCTCTGAACTTTTGTGTTGAACACTGAGTAGATCAGTCCATCAAACGATGGCAATTACTTAATTATAAAGGTCATTTTATAGATATGCTGTCAATACTAAAGGGGAAACTCCATTTCATCTTTATTTAGGTTGTAGACTTGACGGTTGCCCATGGTCCTGACTATGTTGTAGTCCTTCCAAAACAAAGGAGAGCTTTTCTGTCAGCAGTGGAACAATTTGCATGTTTGAAATTTTCTAATCCTGTCGAGAGGAGGTTCGCAGCAGAACTAGCAGCTGCGTTGCACCAAATATGGGGTGAGATATCCTTGTCATCCCCATTTTTTTAAAGGGTCTCTTATGTTATCTTTTATTCCCTCTTTTAATGCCCATCAGTTTACAGAAATATTTCTAGAATGGAACTATACTAGACACATTTATGTTGCTGAGATATATAGTACACGATCATGTGCCTCTTTACTTCCCATTCTTCTTGGCCTTTCCAAGGAATGAAGTTTCCTATTTTCTGGCGAAAGATGAGCTAAGTGTTCACAACAATATGTATTCAGGTGTTTCAAGTAACAATCTCAGTCCTCTTTCAAATCTTCCTGTAGGGAAATGCTCATGATAATGATTACAGCCAGCATTGGAAGTGTATTTCATAATGTGTTCTGTACAATGCCCAAGTCCATGTCCGGAAGATGATGAGCCAAAGAACGTACTATGTGAAGTGACTGAAACTTTTAGGTGGGATTTATGCTACCTAATGGAGAGCTTTTGGAGTTCCTTGAAATATGCATGTTTCTTATGTTTTTCTCCTATCATCGCTCTCCTGTTAAAATCTCAAATTCAAATTAAGAACAGTTAGAATGTGGTTGTTTCTGATGGAGACATCTTGTGTAAGCTTATTTTTTACAAGGAAATTCGCCTAGGACAAACTTTGTAGATTAGTGCATCAGATTTAAGCGTGAAGATGTGATGGTCCTCCAAATCTCTTTCCCTTTTCATTTGTCTACTCTACTATATTAAATTTGAATGGGGCATTCTGAGATTATTAAGAATAATGGGAACAATTGGTTGAAAGGAATAAATAAGTAGGAGGAAGATAATGTTGCTTTAATCAGCAATTTTTGGTATGAACATTACCGGCCAAAGAGCTAGAGCCTAGAGGCCTACAATACATTGACTACTTGGTTACATTCTCCAATCGAAATGGACCACTTGGATGGCTTTCTGTTAGTCATTGATGATACAACACAACGATCAAAGTGAAGGTCTACAAATTAAGAACTTGCAGAAAATTCATGGAGATCCTAAAGATTAGAGTACATTTGAGACGCAAAAACTACCAGAAATTGTACTTACATAACAACAGTCATCTAGAAGATCTGAAGAAGTTAGAGAAAATTGACATGGTGCTTGTAAAGAAGTAACTCATTTAGCTTTCAGCACCCGGTTTCGATATTCACCCAACGCCCAAATTGGGAATATGTTCCTATATGCAGCATATGTGATCATACAGTTCCTGTTGAAGACCCCCATGATTTCCTGGGAATTCAAAAGCCACAAAGAGTTAGATGTTCCAGAATTTGTTAGGTAAAATGGCTAATAAAGTTCCAGAAACTTTCAAGAATTGCAAAACTGCAACAATGAAATTTGGCTTGAAGAAGCAGTATCGGTTATAGATTTAAAGCACTGCTAATGAACTGGGCAAACCCGAATTTGAGACAGTTTACGGTGCAAATGTGTGCAACCACACATAAATCATAGATACGTGAGAAGCAAGCTGAGGTGGATTCTAAGTTGGAACCTTTTAAGGATAGCCCTTAATCACAAAATTATCACACGTGCTAAATTTTCCAAGGCGATTACATTTTATGTGAACAAGCTACAGGACAGCAGGCCATGTGCAAACATTTTCCCTAACTTTGAAGCAGCCAAAAGAACCATGCATATTTGATAAAAGAAATGAAAAAGAAAACACCAACTCAATTACATATGGCAGCCTCCAGGTGGCAGACAAACATAATACCTCTTGTGGAAAATCTCCATTTTCAAATTGAGCATTAATCAGAACTTTAGCAGCATGATGCAATGGTGTTGGATCTCTCTCAGCCTGGAAAATTAGCAAAGACATTAAGGAGACTAGTGTAACTTTCAAAAGGTCATATGAAGCCAGCACCATCATCTGCTTCTTTAGTTATGTATATTAGTACAATATTTCCGTATGAATTTGCTGAACTGATATCAAAACTAGGCAATGTACAAAACCTAAGAAAAAAAGACAAATTGATTTTAATAATTCTATCTTCCCAAGGAGGAGGTTGCTTAATTTAAAATTTTAAAGTTAATTTGGAATTATAAAAGTTATACTGGGAATAATTTTGATCTGAAAGTCTCTTTACCTGCCCAGCTGTAATGAGTGCCAAAATGGCCCATGAAGTATTTACCACATGTGATCTGTTGCCTGGAAGATTTGAATATACCTGCAGAATAAATATTGATTTAGTTCAGGAGATGTTCAGAGGCTAACTTCACTTGCAAGAACTTGGACAACATTAGGGTTAAGAAGCATGGTCACAAACTACGGTTCCAACAACCCTGCATCAGGCAATGGAATTTCAACAAGACAAACTATAGTAACCTAAAGGATAGGGGTGTCACGATGACAAGATCTACGGAGACAACCCCACTGGCACAAAGAATGATAATTGTGTGGAATATAGAAAGCATAACACAATTATGACATTTTAAATTGTCACCCCTCGATGCTCAGCACCAATGCATAAATTTTGAACATTATGCTGCATGTACATCTGAATCGATTAATGAGGTACACCTTGCAACACTAACAATTTTAACTTCAATAAGGCAAATTTTTAAGTGATCAGTAAGTCATTTTCAATAAAATTTTTGTAAGAATCATTTTAAGTTGTTACTGTTTCCCAAGTAACGAATTTACAAATTTATCCATATCTATGTTCTAGGGTGATAAGATTTTATAAGCCACTAAATATAGAAATGGAAATGGAAGGGTGCCAATTAAGTATGAATAAAGATGAGAGTAACCTTGTTCTGACAGGAAAGGTAACTCTCCCCCCAACCACCAGAAGGCAGCTGTTTGGACAACAGGAAATCACAGGCCTTGCGGATGGCAGGACAAGTATCGTAATTTCTTCCAGCTGCCACCAGACCTTTTACACCAAACCACAGTCCATAAGTGAAACAAACACCCCAAGAGCCATACCTGAGACAGGGAACAGGAGAGAGTTGAGAATGGTTAAGAAGAATGATTCCAGACACAAAACCATGTACTGAAATTTATCTAATATAAGAATAATTTACCCTAATATCTCTTTTGGGGAGAAATGTATGTGATTAGGGTTAGAGAAGAGACCGGCAGGTAAATTTAAAATGAGAAGAACAGTCTGTGATTCAAATATGTAGAGGAAAAAGTTACAACAATAGAAGGAACACCAACCAAGAGCCATCTGTTTCTTGAATCTTTTCAATAAATAAAGCAGCCTTCTCTATGCATTGTTCTACTTCTTCTCTTCGATGCCCAGGGTATAGTTGCTTAAATGTTGTCAACGCTTGAATTGCAGCCGAGGTACACTCCACATAACTTTAAGTCATCATGTCATATCAACAACGATCAAATACTACCATCAGCACCTCAAAGTAAACAATCATTGTCCATTATGATAAAATCTAAAGGCTGGTGCAGATATCTTACGGATAGTCAATGACTATGTCACCAAAAGTTTCTGCAGGGTTGATCATCTGGGAAACGAAAATACTAAACAATCAAGCAAGCAATAAACGAGCCCCCAAAAAAGAGATAAGACTATACTGTATACAATACAGAGAATGGACACTTAATAGTGAAATAGGCATAGAAACTCTTACAATGGTCATTTACAATGTGCAGCTTGAGGAAAACATTAAAACATATAACAACAAAAACCCGTTTTTCTAAAAAAGAAATATATCAAGACTTATCAAGGTTGGGCCAAAAGATGAAATTCTGATACTATCTGTATGGAAAACCGGGAAAGCGGTTTACTCCCTTCACTAGAGATGTCAATTTACCCTCTCATCCTAATTATTTTCATGAGACTACAGCTTGTAAATGATATTCTTCAACTAATAACTTGACCCCAAAGACAAATAAGTTCACCAGGAGTGAACGTGTAAAAAAGTTCAGAGGAAAAATCAAAATCTTAACAAATACTTATGAGGACCGAGGAAAAGAAGACGAAATCCAAAACTAAACTCAGTTTAAGAAAGACCAGATTTCCTGCTTCAGTGGTCTAAAATCCTTTTTCCTTCATAAGATGACTGAACCATTGTTTAGACACTTGATTTTGATAATCTTTACAACACTAGAATTGAATGATCATCAGACTAACAAATAGGAGGTTGAATGATTTCAATATGTAAGGGAATAATTAGAGGCTGTTCGGGTTCTTCATGCCTGTTATGGTGGGAGACGGTTTAACCAGATTAGAAATAAACCAAGAACCATATGAAAACATAGAGTTCAAACTGCATGTCACTTCTAGACATTGCAAACCTGATTGTATAAGACTTTCAGGATAGAGAGGAAAAGTCATTCTAGTGGTGCATGTTCGTATCAGGTACTTACAAGACATGCTGCCCTCTTACAGTTTTGACACTGGGCAGAAATTCAAACCAAACCGAACATAACTTTAATGTTTTGAAAGTAACCAAATTGAACATATCAAAGCGTACTACATGTCCGTGATGAGCCTGAAAGTATTCACAATAATTATTTCTTTCCTCCTTTTACGTATGGATAGGTCTATAGCTAGTCCATGTGGTCCTCTGGAAACAGCTACAGAGAAATAATATGAACGAAAAAGAAACTAACTTTTCCTTTCCTTATTTATGAAATGGATTTGTCTGGCCAGAAGCTTCAAATTATTCGACTGGGCACATATTAAGGGACGGATGGTTACCTCCAGCCAAGCATAGGATCTTGTAAGTTCATAAGTAGCCAAGCCACCACCAGGATTCTGAAAAGTTACAAAGAAACGATACAACTTAGATTCCTGAGAAGATATAACTATGGGCAATTGTCCAAAACCATGTTAAATGGACTAAATGTGAGCCAAAGCAACGTGTGCAGGAATCAAATAACATTCAACCGTCATCCAGTATCATCTTTGCCAGAAAAACTTAAAATTGACACAAATGTTCAAGTTTATAGATAGATCATTATCAGGAACTATTAAAACCCTGAGAGCAACAATAATACCGCATATGCTTAAATCATGAAGCTCTTAAAAAAAAGTAAAAAATTAAAAAATCAAGACTTTGAACATTATTATATCCATTTCACAAACAATTCCCAGAGTTGTGGATAAACAAAAATGCCTATCATTTCCAAGCTGCAGAGAGGTTTATATTTTACTCTCTATACCTAGTAAAGACTTCCTAGATTCTTTTCCGTCACCCAGCAGGAACAGACAAAAAGAGCATTTATCTATCCTTTTAAATGGTATTATTGCCAACATCCAATACAGTGACAAACAAATTTAACATGCTGAACTTCTACATCTTAAGTGAACTGCGTACTATTTTAGTAAGGTGCTTTCCATATTCTTTTGGTAGGTTGAGATTTTGAGTTGCATTAGTTGGGAGAAGAAAGGCAATGAAGGACGAAAAACCTAATTTAGTATAGTGGAAGTTAAGAAAAGAGAAAAATAAATCTTTCTGAGGAATGAAATCAGCTAAAACAGATTACATAAGATTTTTCAAATTCTCTAATCATAAAGTTTATGAAAAATGGATATGTAGTCTCAGCAACAAAAATACAGATGACATAATAGCTTTCATACGTCTAGCATCTCAGCATTCCAATTGAAGTCCTTGTGCAACATCCAATATTTGATTCATGCAGTAAGCTGCTAATGAAGTACTTCATAAAGAAGTTTTGATAACGATTAGTTGAATTTTTCTTTATCCAGTTCAGCATAACCTTGCTTTACAACAATAATTTGTATCATTGTCAGGTTGAACAAGAAAAAATGTGATCTGACTGAGCAAGAAGACCATATATGCTCCATCAAGGAGAACCACACAATGGCATAAAGGCTAATCCTCGCAGTAGTAGTGGTGGTAGTTATTGTTGTCCGGTTGGACAAAAATACTTGTATTGTATTGGATACAATAAGAATATAAGTTCTTCAATATAATGAACATTACATGTACTATGCTACATAAACTTATACATTGACAAATTATACGTAAGTATGTGCAGTACAAGAAGATGATGTCACAATTTTCCAGGCAACGTAATCTTTTTGAGAAGGAAAAGGAATGAAGCATATAAGTGATTGTACTAGCCAAGTACCGCCAGCTCACTTGATGAAACCAAATGGTTGAGCATTAAAAAAAAAGGAAATAAAGGAAAAAAACTGGCAGTGATACCTGCAATGAGATAATGACATTTACAGCATCGTAAAATCTCTTTGCATCCAATGGCTCGCCCACAAGCTCTGTTGGTAATTTCGACAACAAGAGAGCAGCCTGATACAGTAAAGAGAATCAGCCAGCGCCAACAGATCAATATTAATTGAACTTTCAGGCTCATAAAGACTTTTACTTTTAAACCCTCGGCCGTGCAGTCTGATATAGGCCAACCGTGGTCTGCAGTTGAAAAAGGCCAAGCACCTTTTGATATGTGGCGATACCAGAAACTAAGATCTCCCGGGCAATCATCTAGCACCTTTATAGATAAACAAGGAGCCAGTTAAAAAACAATGGGAATGGACCACAGAGTATAGCTACAAGAAATACTCAGAAGAGAAAAGACAGCACCTGAGAACTTTTTATGAATGTATGTGCTTTCTTTATTGTGGGCAGATACTCTTCATTAAGATTTGCAGAAAGAATTGCTTGAACAGCAAAGGCAGTGTCCCACAATTGACTTCCATTATAGCCCTGTGGTACAGGTCACATCAACAATCAAAAAATCCTTCTCTTACAAAAAGCAGAGAGACCTTACAATTGTGCGTAGAAACATTTGGAAAGCATTTGACAAGAAAAAAATAAAATAAAATCATAAAAAATATTTGGAGAGATAATGAGCAAAAAATTCATAAACAGCAAACTAATATGTTCAAGACCTGCATTTTCATGCCATCTTCAGCAATCCAGAGATAATCATGGATTCTAGGGAGGTGTAATTTGAAGGCTTCTGAATTTTGGTCTTCTACCCAACAGCAAAGCATGTTTAAGACCTACAATTAAAGGTTCAGTTAAAAATAAGATCATTAATAAGTTACAGTGAACCTAGACAAGGAAAAGAAGTCTTACTTTCCAACAAGAAAAAATCAAAACAAAGCAAAGGAGAGAAACAGAAAAATAAAATATAACCAATTATCTTTAAGGGAAGTTCCCATGTATAGCAGCAAAGTAATCTTTCCTTTAGTCAGAAATCAGGACTCAGGAGGTTGTTTCCTCACAAAACCAGAGAAAAGTATGACCTCTTTCTCAGAGGTAAACATAATACTTTGTACCTTGTTCACAGGGCCTATGCAAATATAGCGAGTATTTTCATCCTCATAGTGTATGTGCTCCATTGTTACACGAAGGGCTTTCTCTCTCAGCTTCTTCCCGGGCCAATTTTGCATAATTGGCTCCACAACTTTATGAAGAGAAGCCCATAATACATCCTGCACAAGGGGGTGTGGGTAGTAGAGGTCTTCCTGCATAAACCACAGGATAAAGATTGATTATAGCAGAGGTTACGATAGTTCAAAACTCACGAAACTTTAGAAATGTACTTTTCCCTACAGAAAACATAGGTTTAAAGGCATTTTGACTCAATAAATTTGATTGAGGTTCAAACAAAAAAAAAATGCTAGTAGAATGTCTAAATAAGTTAAAAGAAGACGAGATGACAAAGAAATTCTTATTTAAAATGCAGGAACAATCACCATTACATCGTTCCAATTGATGATAAGTTTTCCACTAGGTTATTTCCAAAGCCTTTAGGCTGAGGACAGCAATCATAGATCATCGAGGGAAACAACGTGCCAAGTCACAAACAATCATATAATTGTAGATAAATGAGATTCTTTGACAGAACAGCTATCATGTACCATGCAGTACGACACAATCACACAGCACTACCAAACTTTACAAAAGTCTAGTAAAAAGCACAATCTCTCTTTTATCTGCAATTGATACACCATAATATTACCAAAGAACAACAAGGAATGGAAAGATTTTACACACGTAATGCGTTAAGCTAAAAGGTAGCGGCCTAGTACACGGAATTTATTCACTCAATCTCCGTGTGCTGAAGCTTAAAGGAAGCTCCAGAATGCATAAGATAATACATCAAAAATATTATTTAAAAATTACAGCACAGGTGGATTTTGCTGCTTACAATCAAGCAGAGAAACTTAAGCTGTCTGTTTTTCAGAATGAAACTTGGCTGGTATGCCATTATGAAAATGCTATGTAGACTCGTCTGTGCTTCAAAGATTTGGCAATTTGTGGTATTAGTATATACATTAATCTCTTGGAAGGGTATGGTCTTAGAAGCTAGATAAGCTCTTAAACTAAAGTACAAGAGTGCAAGAAGGGAAGACGAATTCAAAGAGGGCCAAAATAAGGTGCTAATTATCTTAATTGAATCTTCAATGTCACAATTGCTGATAAAAATGGCTTCTCTAGAGTGTCCCACAACCAGCTTAATTTAATGTTTACTGCCATTACTTACCTTGGCACATTGGTTGCGTGCGGAATTCCAGTCTATTTCATGGTAGGGAACTGAATAAAGCTCCTTCCTCAAAGCTAGAACTGTTGGTGTTATTGGACCAACGAACCTCTTTCCATACAAATAGGACATAGGTAGATAAACCATCCTGCAGTGGCACCACATCCTTCCTGCAGTATTCAAGAAAAACCAATGAACCAAACTGCATTATTAGGTACAGCCGATGTGACATAGTGGATAAAAGAAATTCAAATACGTAGGCAATGACTGAAATATCCAGCAGTTAACATCGGTGCATTTAGACTCATGACATGTCCAGTTGTCTACAAGAACAAAGACAAAATGCAAAGAAAAACAGAAGATCTACAAAAGAGAAACACATGTAAGCAATCACCTGGATGGAAAGGAAGAGCGTACGGCAAAAGCCAGATTTCAGGGGGCAGAGGATTATTCCCAGACCATTCATATGCGCCAAGTACCTAAATAACAACTCCAAAAATCAACAAATTGGAGGGAAAAATAAAAAAGTAAAACAATAAGCATGATGTCAAAATACATGCAAAGCAAACAATCATATACCGAGAGCCACATTTTGCCCCAGGAAGTAATTGCAGTGGCACCACCATGGTCCAAAATCCACTTTCGCCCTTTCTCCATTGCCCCATCTCCATCATTAGGTCCTTCACCAAGCAATCTCAGAGTTACATAATTTAAGACTGAACCAAACATAGTGCTTGGTCCCTCAATATGCAAACCCCACCCACCATCTGCGTTCTGCATCACCAAAGTAGTAGTACATAAGTTCGCTGCGATTGATATCAAGAAACAGATGATTCTAGGCATAAATATAATTGAAGAATCTCCTGCTAAACTCCACATACTTGGTGATTGTAAAGGTAACGACACATCTCAAGCCTATGCTCTTTGGACAATACTGCATTAAGTGCACCTGTAATAGATAGCGTGATGACCTGCGTCACAATTGAAAAGAAAAGTAACAGGACAAAGTTATTAATCATACAACAAGTGAGTCCTCAATTTATTTGCAGACGCATCAATAATTACAAGCTTCCCAGAACGCAAAAGTAAAGTTGGAGAAGAAACCTAAAAAATGATTCTAGGCAGGCTCCTCTGACAAATTACAAGAAATTGCTATAATCTTACCAAGCCAGGCATGAGAAACATTGGGCCCCCATAATCCCCAGCCCAGTGTCCATCGCGGCTCTGAAGAGTTGAGTAGAAAGTGATGGCTCTTCTCAAAGTTTTGGCAACATTATCTTCAGTGAGGTCTTGTATTTCTTTCACTTTGACTTGAGGCAGAACTTCAATATTTGGATTATCCTTTGAAAACTGGTTCATGAGGGAATATGATTATTACAGATACAGGGAACACTAATAATCAAAGAGAAAGGAAAAAGAGGAACATTTCAATTAATGAAGTGCAATTGAGTTGCACAATCATATTAGTAACTCTTAAACACATTTAAACAAAAGCGATTTCACATTAGAAGGGCATGTTCCAAGAGAACATCAAGCAGAATTAACACAAACAAATTCTTGTATTTCCGTCTGATGCTGGAAACAATAAGCTTACATAAGGGAAGTATTGCCCCAACTCAAGCCAACCGTCTGATGCAGGAAAGAATAAGCTTTCATATTGGTCAACATTGTCAGCGTATTGTCACTTTGAGCAAAGAAACAACACTTTTTTTTTTTTTTTTTGTCAGGCCTCTATACTTTAACCTTCTTATCACACAAATTAGAATACCTGTTCTAGTCTCAACATTGGCGAAAAATTTTACTGGCTTCTAAATTAAAGTAAACCACAGCTCAAACAAGCTACAAGATGAGCCATTCTGCAAAAAAGTACACGAGCTTGCATGCATGAGTCTGTTCACCCAGAATCTAAAGAGCACAAAAATGTAAAGAGTTTTAAAACCAAAATTGATGAGGAAACGAATTTCCCAAATGACCACGAACACAAAACAGCGAGACGTTGAAAAAACAGGAGCCAACAAAATATCATGGAAGTATCTGACTGATAATGTTTGCTGTCCAAAGGTTTCCTTCCAAAACTCAAGAAACTGTTCTATTTTCACACACAAAAGGTACAAGATAAAATGAATATCATCAGGTTGATAAAAAGCTTGCAACTAAAACAAACAAATGACAAACGTCAGTCACAATCATTGATCTACTGTAATTTTGCTTCCGAGCCCAATAATTCACACAATCAATCAATCCTACAAATAAATCATAGTTACTGTAAATTCTGATCTCATTTATCCCATTCCAACTGACAGGTGAATTAGAAACCATAAATCTTGAAGGACTGTGAAACAATTACAGCCATTTCTTCGAGAAGCAATGATCCATCAGCGACTTAATAACAATAGTAATAACATGGATGATGTAAACAAAAGCATGCACTCGTGCATACGGATGCAGCAAAATGAACAGCGCACGAGTCCATATTTTCCAAACTCTTAAAGGCCTATCACCAATTTATCACTTTCTTTATGTTTCTCAACATTGTGTTTATGCAATTCATTTGTTTCTAAATCAGCTGCAACCTGTAATGAGCAATGTAAGCATTGGACATTTCCCATAGGCACAGTTTCAGTGCTTATTGCTGAACTGTGCAAAATTATGACAAAATACGCTTTTTGAACCACCTTTGACCAACATGGCAATACTGTCCTAACACTTGAATTCAGATATCAAACCATAAGTTGTACAAAAGTTTGTGGATATGTTTCAATTCAACATTGATGCAATGCTGGAGAAGGGATCAAATGTAAAACTTTTACTTTACTTATTTCTTACTTCATGCAATACATCTTTAAACAGTACCAATTTCATCAGCAACATTTTCATGTCATCTCCCCGTGGCTGCCTCTAGTCCAACTAAACCACTATTTTCTTTCAGACCTTAGTTATCATCCACCAATCTAATTCCTTTGTTCCTTAGATTCATTTATCACTCTTAGTCTTCATGAAATGAGCAATTACTATCATTAGTTAGTTGGCCCATGTTTGACCAACTAATAAAGTCATTTAGAAATCACTATTACTTAGAAATACAACACAAACAAATTTAGCCTTCAAAATTAAGAAACAACTCTGCTACTTTCTAAAGAAGGATCTGGTTCATCTTTAACTGAATAAACATCTATTTAGGGGAAAGTTGGAAAAGGGGGATTTTTTTCTTTTTTTTTTGGTGAAGAGAAGGGGGGAAAATTTTCAACCGCAAAAGAACCACAATTGTTTACAGACATTTTGCTCAACAAAACTTAATACTGAGAAAAACAACCACAACTTTAAAACGTGAAAAGTTAACTCATTCCCCGGAGCTAGGGATTTGGCAGTTAACCACAAGTAGTTCATGATTGTAGTAGATTAGCACTTAATTTTGCTAGAATGTCACAAAATCAATTTCCTCGTAATCAACGATATCTATTCATGCATGATCAAACAAAAACAGACAGTCGGTTTCTAGAAATTAATTGCAAGAATGATCAGAGAAACAAACCTGAATGCGCATGAGAAGATCGGCACTGTGCTTCTTTTCAAACCGATTAAGGCGGAAATTCTCACGCGCCTTCTCGATCGCATCTAACTCTTCCGGTGACCCGACCGCGTTCGGGTCGAACTCCCAGAACTGCCTCCCGACGTGACCGTTAGTCGTCCGCAACCACGGACTTCCTCCCTCGGCGATCTTCAGCTTCCACATTTCACCCCTTCTTTGATTTTCCTCACTCTATTGAACTAAACACCAAGGCATCAAGCACAAAAGAGAACGAAAATCAAATCGAATTGACAATCACAAATCTCCTGCAACAAAATTATTAAGCCGTACATGCATGATACAGAGAAGAGAAACAACAAAGAGCACGTTTGCGTGACGACAGCTGTGGGAAATACGTGCAAGGTTTTGTCTCTTTTGTTTGCCATATTCAAGAATTAAAGCATCGGCAACAAGAGAGTTTAGAATGCAAGCAATGATGGCCGCGGAGGACGGAGGAGATGGAATTTACCGCAGAGGCCGAAGTTCAAATTACAGCAGGAGACGGCGGTTGTCCGGCGGGGGAGTACAGAATTCAGAAAAAGACGGGAGACTGGTTTAGCTTACGTGTGTATTTATTACTGTAACAACTAGGCAGAGTGGGGGAGAGCCGGGAAAATAATCCAAATTTTTTTTGTCCTCAAATGTATTAATCAGCCACTTGGCAAATGGTTCTACATTTTTTTTTTTTAATTTTTGAAAAGGTTCTACATTTGTTAATAATCAGACAAATACATAAAAACTAATAAAGGATGTTTTTCTTATTGTAATCTCTTTGTGACTTTTTTTTGGTCATTGTACGATTATTGTTCTAATTAATACCTGTTGCCACTGTTGGATGACCATTTGATTCCAGTCGAAGCCCAAGATATGCACGTGATTTTACAAAGTATCATATAATTAGAGTGGAGCGAAATGATGTAGCAAAAATGCATAATATGGCAAATTTGCACATTATGAGATGTACTCCCTCCGTCCCATAATTATTGTCCACTTTGCCCAAAAAATTTTGTCCCAAAATTATTGTCCAATTTGACTTTTTATGGATCAAGTTACACATTTGTCCTTAGTAAAAAACATTATCCATAAAATCTTAGTGGTTAAACAATTACTTATGTAGGGGTATATCCGGTTGTTTAAGGTAAAATATAGTTAAATTTGACAAAAATAAAATCTTTTATTTTAGTAAAATTAGACAATAATTATGGGACGGAGGGAGTACATTAATAATGTAGGTGTTTCAGTAAAATATTCAAAAAATTATTGCTCAGTTTGGATTTTCACTTTTAATGTAATTTGTAGTAAAAAAATGAAAATCTAAACTGGACAATAATTTCAGGACGGAAAGAGTATAATAAACTGGTATACTTTCTTTTCTTTTCTTTTTTTAGAAAAAAAGAGAGACATTCTACTTTTTAATAAATAAATCTCTCTTGTATGGAAGAGAGATTTTTATTTTATTTTTAATGAAAAAGACAACGAATCTAGTTTAGTAAGGCCTTTTTTTCCCCTTGGTTTTTCTCTCTTTTTTTTGAAAAGGGAAACATGGTTTCACATTTGAGTTTTTTGAATATACAAAAATTTGATGTATCAGTATTTCAATTTAGTATGATGGGTTGAGTTTGAGTTTTGTCACCTCAAACAACCAAAACTTATTGAATGGCTAGTGATATTATTAACACTTTCTTTAGCCTCTTGAGCAAACATAGCATATATGCTAAAATTGTCCTTATATGGTCAAAATCCTCTTCCCCAATTATTCTTCTTCAGGATTCTACATGGTGCTCTCTTTTCATTTCTCGATACTATTTTCTCGACCTAATTTTAATTGAGTAATGTGGCTACGATATATTGAGTAGTATATATATAAAGAACTTTGTTATACATTCTCTCTAGAAAAGTGTAATATGTGATTCTGAGACAAGATGAGAAAATATAATTAGAAAAATTACTGTAGACGGTAACCATTCTCTTTCTTTTTTCATTCAATGGGTACCTGTAATGTATTAATTAAACGTAGTAAAACCTATTCTATTACACTTAAAGTTTATTATATGCTATATTATGCATCTTTTGCTTCTTTACTGCTAGCTTTAATAAAATTACAACTGGTAAAGGAACGTTTAACTATCTGAAAACTGGCGATAACAACTTGTGTTTCCACCGGCACTTTAGCTATCTCCAAGTGTTGTGTTAGGGCCTGACAATCCGTATAAACACTCAGTTCTTCAATTCCAAAACTCAGCACTTGTTGTAACGCATATAAACACGTCATTGCCTCCGCCTGAAATGCTGAGAGTGCACTAAAATCTATTGATCTTAGCTGTATGATCATGCCCGTCAGAGAGATGATCCTCCATGCACTAGCAACCTTTTTCCTTAGCGGGTCATATGAGCCATCCATGATAACCACTGTTTTGTGGAACTGACCTTCCATGTATTCCAATTGATGCATTTCCTCCATCGTGAGTGATGTTATGTGTGGTTGATGGTTTTGAGAGTTTTTGAGAAGTGATTTGAACAAGTTGTAGTCCTGTAGTGTCATTTGCCAGATATGTGTAGAAGAATGGATTATATCCCGGCATATCTTGTCATTACGCTGCATCCAAATACTCCAGAAAATATATTGAAGGAGATCAATGTGAGATCTATTTTGCATGTCATTCATCCAATGCAAGAACCATTTTTTGAGATAGAAATTTGATCAATGCATCATACACTAAGGAAAAAGGCAGCTGCATTCCACACCTGTTGTGGCCATGGACACTTAAGGGCCATGGACACTCAAGGAAGAGGTGGAGGCCATCTTCTGGTTCTTGCATGCATCTAGGACACAACTATAATTATTGGCACACCATATTTGCTTAGCTCAGTTGTTGTTGATAAGGCGTTCTGGATGGTTCTCCACATCAGGAGCTTTAGTTTCAGTTGACCCTTTGATCTCTAAAGCGCCTTCCAAGCGTTTTGTTCTGAGATACCACTGGCTGATCCAGATTGCCGTTATTCTAAGTTACTTGATATCCAGTCTTCACAACATCACCATGATCTGACCCCAACCATATGTTTACGACAACCATTCTCATCAAAGAAGGTATTGGTGATTTTATGTGCCTAGATTTACGTCCTAGTTCAAGCATATATTTCTCAACTGAAACTTAGAAGACTCTGACATTTGACATGGTTTCTGTAACTCAGATATGGTAGCCATTTTAGAGACAATGTTTTAGGTCTTCTCACAAACTTTTGATATTTGTATCTTTATGTTCTACATGTTTACACTATCCATATCCTTCTGTAGCATGTCAAGAAGCTCATGTGGGTTTGGACTTTATTTGAAATTACTTTGAAGAGAGGATGTCCCAATTAGCGAAAAAGATTTTACAACATTGTAAAATTATTAACAAGCAAATTTGGGTGTCTAAAGTCCAAACACCTCTTCATTAGCTCCACGAGATTCCTTTTGGAATCTTGAAAAAATTAAAGTCAAAAGATGACCTTTTAAACCGCGTTTGGTCAATGGTCCAGCTTGTGGCACTAACTCATTTTATCAATACATTATAATTACATTAATAATAAATTACATTTATATCTTTATTAATTTTTATTTTTTTTCGCTTTTGAAGTGAAAATAATTATATGGCTTACATTTCTAAATTCTTAGTTTTAAGTAGTAGAACGTAGGTAAATTAATAATCTATAAATTAATAACTTTTAGCAATTAATAATTTTCTCCGGTCCCAACTTGGGACCAGTACAAAAAATGAAGAAAATCGATAAAATTATAAGATTATAATGTTTCAGAAAATCTCCTATACATAAATACCCTAAAAGCAAAAAAATAATAATAAATTCAAATAATTAGTACAATATTAACTATTGATATTTATTTTTTAGTCCCTAGAGATGATATGAACTATGTATGGATATTTAGTATTCAGAAGAATTTTAATACTTGATTAAGTTAGATGTAAAGACAACTACAAATTATGTAATTTACAGTGGCATTCTTTTTTTTTTCTCATAGAAATTCTTTAAATTAATAACTTATTAATTTATTGATTATTTAATCATTCTCTAAATTAATAAATTTTGATGGTCCCAACTCTATTAATTTATAAAAGTTCTACTGTAGTAATAAATAAAAATAAATCAACGACAATGAAGTAAATTTATGGACCACAAGTAAATGTATTCCTCCAAATCTAATCACAGAACATAGTATAGAAATCTCATTACTTTCCAAGGTTGTTATGTAAATGCATCTTATACAACAATCATGTAGATAGCCATCTAATCATTCATTGGTAACAAAATCTTGAAACTATATTTAATTTCTTATTGTATTTCAAAGAACTTGTTGGCTTAATTAATATAAATAGAGGTCATTGAATTTCGAATTGAAAAATTAATATGATACCAAGATGATAAAATGTACATCTTATTTATGATTTGCTCTAGATTACAAACCTGTTTACTAAGCAATATCCAGAACTCATAACGGTTATTACTAGTTTGTTAAATGAATCACACTCCGTTCTTACAAAGTCAAATAACACAATTTTCACATGCAAAGTACTTCCTCTGGTCCTTAATATAAGACACTTTGATTTGTACGAAATTTCATTTAGTACGCATTTTTAATGGACAAAAAAATCTTAAAGATTTCTTTACATTTCTTGGTGGTAGGAACTATTTCCGGTTTAAAGGTTCTAAGTTTGAGACATACTCATTTCTACGGTCATATAAGCATTTTCAAAACAGGATTATCATTATTGACTGCATTGAGGATGCTTGATCTGGCTCATAATGAATTTACAAGAATCTTGCCAATAACATTTTTCAGCCAACTCAGAGGAAGGAAGATGTTAAATCACTCGTTGCTCATAATATGTTCAATAAATTAAATGTTAACTATGAAAGTTCAGTGTTAATAGAGAAAGGGATTGGGATTGAAATTGTACATATTCTCTCCATCTACACAACTATATGATCTCTCCGACAACAAGTTCTATGGGTTTATTCCAGATGTCATTGGAGATCTCATTTCACTTCAGGGGTTGAATCTTTCTCATAATAAGTTTGAAGATTCAGTTCCACAAACCATCCAAAATTTAATTCATCTAGAATCCTTGGAAGAATCCCCCAACAACTGACGTCATTGACGTATC